TGTGCATGTATCATTTTCTAGTTACACCTACATATACCTTACTGGTGATCTGCTCGAAGCGAAGATCTCTTGTGTGGTATTTTGCTATTCTTCAGACTAATGACTTTGGTAATCGCTGGCTAACCACTGCACAGATTTGCATGGAGAATGGTAGTCGTTATTGCTTCACCTACCCAGAATCAGCCACGTGGTACAACTTCGACTCACCTCAACCGTGACATGGGTCGCGAAAGCCGTCATGTATATGTGTCAGGGCTTCCGGATTCTGTGTCCGATGAACGGATTAATTCGTTCTTTTCAAGGTCTGTACAATGTAAAATACAGTTGCCATCGTCGCAGTTTGACAGGGCGGTGTTATGAGGCGCAAATGAGCCCGCACGCGGGGTAATCTACTATCGGTTGTATTGTGTCTCAACTTGGCCATTATTGGTAGAAATCGCAGCCGATGGGGGCTCATTTCACGCCTTTTGGCACTGCACCGTCAGATTGCGGCGAGATCAACTGTAGATGGTGGGCGCTAGTGTAAAGAAGGCCCACAGTCTGGTATTTAGGTGTTAAGACATGTCACGCCTTCTCATGATCAGGGTATAACATCGCTGGGGAAATCTCCTCGGGAGGGGGGGGGGGTTCCTACTGAGTACCCCTCCAGTTGGCGGCGTTGTCAAAGTCCCGTGCAACTGCTGTTTTCGATAGTTGAAAGTCTCTTGATGCCACTTTTCCAGCGCTACTTTTTTGGTTTTTGGGGATAAGACTTGCCTAGGCTCAGGGAAAAAGCTCTGTTTTTAGTGAACCGATCCTTTTTTTACAAAAAATGGATTTTTGCATCTCATGAGAAAGATCCTCTCACAGCGGGTCTCGTTTCGACCGGGTCCAGGCGAAAATCCTCATGGTCCAGCGCTAAATCCCACCCAACATACAAAAATAATCGAAGATATGACTTGGGAAAGGTATTCGTTGTGATTTCGTTCCCACGTTAGTGTTATGTTATGAGACGTCCTGACATGTTCCA